AAAAAAAAAAAAAAAAACATCAACAAAAGAATGATTAATTTAAAAAAGAGAGAGAGAAAAGGGAGCCACTGAGAGTCTGCCGCAGGGCAGGGTGCAAAGGCTGTCCTCATCCCCCCTGCTCTGGGGCCAGCACTCACCAGCACAAGCGATGTGCAGAGTTTGGCCACTCCTCACCTGGCCCACCAGACTGCGCAGGCCAGCCAGCGTCAGCCACACAAAGGAGATGCACTGTGGAGCTGCAGAGAGGAAAGAGAGGGGCACGGTCAGAGCCCTGGCAGTGAGGGAGGCAGAGGCTGCAGCCCTGCATCCCCCAGCTCAACGCATATCATGCGCAAGGGAAGAGACCCCTTTCCCCGGTTGCTATAGGTGTCAGGAGGATGAGGACACTCTACCATAGATGCTGAAGAGTTTGCTCATGGTGATCAGAACAAACTCCTTGGACATCTCCCGTGTGGCCTTCAGGTGGCCCTGGAGCTCAGCCATCACCAAGGTGAAATGTGTCCGAGCCAGCGCCACCAGGACATTGCTGGCAGCTGTCCTCACGCTGTCCGTCACGCCCTGAAAAAGAGTCACTGGTGACACACAGCCCAGGAGACTGCCCGACGCCTTCCCTTGGAAAGTCTAAGCCACTGCCGTCCGCCAGCAGAACACCAGCGCAGGCAGGCGGCTCCCTTTGCCTTCGGGAGTGACCCCTCACCTGGGCTGCTGTCAGGTCCTGGGACACCTCTGCCAGCAGCTGGTTCACCACTCCGCAGGGCGGGCGGCTGTCACCTCCCCACAGGACGTGCTCCAGCTCGCAGTACGCCTGCGCTCGGTCACCCTGGGAACAAGGATCAGTCACACTTGCTTTGCCCACTGCCATCACTATGCAGCTGTGCTGCCAGGCCTGGCACCCATGGGACCATGGCACTGGGCCAGGGCAAGGATTGATGGTTGGACATCCCCAGCTCACCTCCTGGTCTTGCAGGTGCTGCAGCAGCAAAGTCACGGCACAGACAGGGACAGGGCTTTCCACCCTGCCTCTCTCCCTGCGACGTGTACATCTGGGCATGCAGCCCACACAGGCGAAGAGTCCTGGAAGGAAAGAGCAGAGCAGCTGCTACTGGTGTTGCTTGGAGCCAGGGCTGAGCATCCAGCCAGCTCTGGGAGGAATGCTCCTCCAGCCCCACAGTGGGGGTGGGCTGTGCTGGCACATGTGTGGTAGGCAGGGAGAGGGGAGAGAGCCTTCCCCTTGCTGGGGTACTGAGAAACCATGGTGGGCAGCTGCACTTAGCAGAGCAAGGACAGTGCTGCTGGCATGTCCTTAACAGAGACATTGAAGGCATATATGTGCTCGGGCAGCATCATAGTGTCCAGAGAGGTGGAGGGACCTCACCTCGAAGGGCTCTCAGCCGCTCCATCTCAGCAGGATGTCTCCAGATAGACACAACGCTCTCTCTGGGTTCACTTCCTGCACGTCCCACAAGCGGACTGAGCTACTGCTCCCACCGCTGCCACAAGGGCATATGAGGTAGCCACTGTGACATCTTACTGCAGAGTGTCACCTCACAGAGAATGATGTGCTCCAGGCTGCCTGGAGACAACATCCAGGGCAACCTTGCAGGCCCCAGAACACAGCATGTTTTTGTGATGCACTTGGCTCCAGGGTTCTGGTTCCGTGCCTAAGTGGGGAATTACCTCAGCAGGTGAGGGAGAGAACCTGCCAGGGAGCAGCTGCTGGGCACCTTTGCCCAGTACTGTCTTAGTGACTGGGGACTCCATGCCAGGAGGCACTGAGGCCCCCATCTGCTGCCCAGGCAACCTCTCCAGACAGCTTTGCTGTCTTCCAGGGGCACATGTCAGAGACATTAAGGAGACTCCACCACATCAGATCAAACAAGAAGACCACCATCCACTTGTTGTCATTCCAGTAGGGTCATGGGAGGCTGGCATGAGGAAATGGCAGAACATCAGAGAGGGACTTTGCATCCCTTGGAAAGATGCTAAAGGTATCAGGAGCACCAGGAGTGTTCTCCTCTGTCCTTTTGACTGGTGGCTGGGTCCCAGAAGGAAGGAGGCAGATAGAGGTGGCATTCTGACAGCCTGTATCTGGATGGCACAGATGCTGTCATTAAGAGGCTGCATGGCCCTGGGCAGCTAGGAGCAAGTCTGAGCCTTGCTGCCACTGGGCACATGCACTCATACAAACAGGTGTGCACATGTGCTTGCATGCAGACACACACACACACACACACAAACACACAACTACCCTGGTGACAGAAGATGCGGAGAAGGGGGAGTTATTGAGTGCCTTCTCTGTCTCTGCCTATACTGCTGGAGGCTGTCCTGAGGAAGTCAGGATCAAGGAGGAGTTTGCCTCAGTTGATAAGGACTGGGTCAAGGAACAATTAAACAATCTGGACATCCATAAATCCATGGGTCCTGATGGGATACACCCGTAGGTGCTGGCAGAAGTCATTGCTAGACCACTCACCATTATCTTTGGTAAGTTGTGGGGAACACAACTTTGGTAAGTTGAGGTGCCTGAGGACTAGAAGAAAACAAACATCACTCAAGAAAGGACAAGAAGGAGGACCTGAGTAACTAGAGACAGATCAGCCTCACCTGGAAAGGCGATGGAAAAACTTATCATTGGCACTGCCTCTAGGCATATCAAGGATAAGAGAGTCATTAAGGGTAGTTAACATGGCTTCAGCAAGGGGAAGTCATGCTTGACCAACCTGATAGCTTTTTATGAAGATGAAACCAGGTGGATAGATGATGATAAAGAAGTGGATGTGGTCTATCTTGATTTTAGTAGAGCATTTGACACCATCTCCCACAGCATCGCCACAGCTAAACTGAGGAAGCATAATCTGGAACAATCAAGTAGTAAGGTGGATTGTGAACCAACTGAAGGAAAGAAGCCAGAGAGTTGTGGTCAGTGGGACAGAGTGAGTCTAGTTGGAGGCCTGTGTCTAATGGAGTCCCTCAAGGGTCGGTACTGGGACCAGTACTATTCAATATATTCATCAGTGACTTGGATGAGGGAGTAGAGTGCACTGTTAGCAGGCTTGCTGATGACACAGAACTAGGAGGAGTGGCTGACATGCCAGAAGGCATGAAAAAGCATTATGGGATGCTTTTGGGATGAGACTAAGATGGGAAAACAGGAATTGAGACATATCAGTCAAGGGAAGTAAGTGTGGGAAGATGGACTAAAGGGGAATAAATGTGGTCACATAAACAAGCAGCTGATCAGCTGTTGCCTAGTCACTTGGTCACTGTCATTTGAGCTGTCTTCCTATTAGATCCTACTTCTTTTTTCTGTATGACACTTTAGTCTCTGCATGTGTACACATTTGTATACATGCCTGCTAGACCTATATTCATAATAGGAAAACACCAAAATCTAGAAAAACCCAAAGCCTGAATTGGTGACTTCGTGATGAGCCAGGATATCACGGCAGGCTATTAGATGGGATTAGGATCTGTGAATGTGAGTGTGCCTGGAAAAGTAGAAAGTGAAGATGTATGCATGTCCCACTAATGAGCTTCAATTCCAGTCTGGCACAGGAGAGGAAGATAGGACTATCCATTTTGGTGGTGTCCATGCAGCTTGATACATGGGGGTTTATAAAGACACCATGCTGTCTGTGCTGATATGTGGGGTCCTCTGTGTGTGTGTCTTCCTGTATGTCTTTGTGTGCATACTGGGGGCATGCATCCAGCCTCACTGCTAACTGGATCTGGTGGCAGAGAGCCACCACATTCATGGGACTGGATGGGGGCACTCTGAAGGCTGAGAGGGCACCAGAGTCAAGGACATCTTTATTATCAGGGAATGTTTTTTCTTTTAAAATTGTTTTCAAACCATCAGTCTTCTGATGAACATTTGAAGAACGGCAAGAATAGAAGCTGAAGATTAGTCTTATTGTGATTAATTTGTCTTCCCATTGTTATTATTTAAAAAAATAGGAAAAATTTTCTGAATGAGTTGAGAAGACTGATATCACAAGTTTCAACAACACAAAATTATTTTCTTTTCTCATTTCAAAGGTATTGTTGTTACACTCATTTTCAATAGACTCGTTTTCAATAACAAAAGATTTTTAGAGAGATGCTTTCTCTTGACATAAAGTTTACATCTCTGATGAACTGTTATCTGACGTATTAATTAGGTGAAATGTGTCCTTTCGATTCGACTCTTCTGGTAATAGAGTTAAGTTTCAATCTTATATTTAAAATTTTCTTTTAAAAAATATCAATTTTTAATGCAAGGAATAAATTGGTCTCACAGTTATGTAGAACTTAAAAACTGCCGTGGTACAGAATATAATCTAAAACTCTAAAATGTTTAAAGTTTATGTTTTATTTCAGTGTCATACTCAGGAGTAATAAATTCATATTACTGTTTTAGGAGGTATTACTTTCCTTGACATTTGAGAACTGTCCATGTTTGACAGAACTCAACTACCATAAGTTGGAACATGTCACCTAACAGTATAAGCAATTAAAATAATTGAGAGATCATCTTCTATAAGTGTTAAAAATCTATGCATTTCCTAAAATTCAGTAGATGTAAAGGCACTCACACAATAAAAATGTAACATTACAGAGATATAATTTTCATGAATAATTTTGTTTCTGAAGAACTAGTGTTCATCTTTTCCTTTTCCAGTAGTAAAAATTATTTTGCTAAAAAAGTTATCAGGTTTCTTCATTTATTAATCGGAAACTAATGACATAGACATTAGAAGTCTTGTCTCAGTATTAGCTAGAAATAAGTCAGTACAATTAAAAGGATATTTCTTAATTGTAAGGCAATCTTTTTATGTTGCACCATTTTCCTTAGAAAAAAATATGCTAATAGAATTTTAAATCTACTTTAAATCCTGAACATTATTGATAATGTTCAAGACATACTGATAAATATTGAACATTATTAATCCTTCACTCATTCTGCATCATCCTTTTTGCTGGCACTGGACAAAAAGAGACAAGTACGCATGTTTGAGATTACATAGGGGGAAAATACTACTATGAAAACTAAAAAAAACATTTACAACCTTCTTATGTATCTTTGTTGATACTGCATTTTTAGTACCATGAGAACAGGTGTCCTGGATTCTCCTCTACTAGATAGAATGTCAGAACTGTTACTGAGGCTTTATCTGCAGAATATTTATTCTTATTGACAATGATAAGCTTAGAAATAATATAATTGACCTTGAGATCTCTAGCTTTATATTCATCCTGCTACTGAGAAATCCATCTTCCTCCTTCTGCACTGCTGGCTACAAACATTTGTTAATTCCTGAGCTTTTCATGTGAATTTTGAATTATTTATTCAAAAGATACAACTAGTAAAAACAAATCTAATTCAAGACACGGTAACTTTGATGCTACCTCACCTTTCATAAGCAAATTGCAGGAGTTTTAGCCCTAAGTTGACTCACAAAGGAAAGCTATGTAGACACACACATTCAAATCGCAGATATCTATAGAAGAGAGATCTAAAACAAATTTGAAGTACAACAGCTTTCAAACAAGCAGACCCTTGTCTCTGCAAGTGAAATTACAGTCTTTACAGTTATGTCAGGCTGTAGGGCACAGCCCTAACCTGATTTCAAATTTTAGGTGCATAAAAAAACACTTAAACACTGTAGGAGAGACGGTCTTTGCCTCTAGCACTGTGAAACTAGAAGGAGCATAAGAGTACAAAATGTTATCACTCTTGCAAGCTTAAAACTCCTAGTAGAGAAGACCTAGGGAACAGCTTCCTTGGGCTTGAGGCAGCTGATGCTTTTGAATGTCCCTGATGCCACTGAATCCTTCATATACAGAAGCAGAGCCCCATTACCCATTAAATGTTTGTGGGCCTTTACTTTGTTGCTAATGAAGGTTGAAGCTGAGTGCTGCACCATAAGGTCCTTGAATGCATCCCTCCCTGCACATGTCCTAAAAGCCAGCAAAATGGGATGAGACTGTCTCGCATATGCAGCTTTTCATTTCCATCTCATCATGTTTCCTATGACAATTAATACAAGATTCGCCACCAACTCACTTTTGTTCTGTGGCCATATTCACCATATTCTCAAACATTCATAATGATGGAAATACACTTTTATGTATTTTGTATGCATTCAATGCATAAAAAATCTTTTTTTTTTCTTTTCTGTAGAGGATTATGTCTATAATTTCTTAAAATTGCACTGCATTCAAATAATCTGATGTCAGAGTGCTATAATGTGGTTATAAAATGGTATAACTGGAGGAAGATGACCAGCAAGCCACCACGCAGAGCATATCCTTTTGCCTGAATACTGAAATGAAGCTGTTACCCAAAAGGCACAGACTTTTACCAATTACAGACAAAAAGTGGTATAAGAGCATTCATGCAAGGTGGCCTAAGCACCTCCTGGTATACCCTCTGCTCCCATTCCTTCCTTCAGTATTGTCTACAAACTTTTCCTTCCATTGAAAATTATCTTACTTGGTTTTATATGCACTTCTGAAGGCCGAGGACACTTTATTGTACCATAAATTTTATGTGTTTTGACTCATCATTATAATCTTAAAGTTGAAGCCTCATTCTGAGTAAGAATATTCAAGTTGATTAATACTTACGTGAATTTAAGCATGGATTTTATGCTAGAGCACTAGCTAGTTATCCCATGAATGAGTCCTTTTATTCCTGATATTTGAAGAGAGTTTTCAAGTGTATCTGCAGATCACAATTAGTGTGTAACTGAACATTATTCAATAAAACTGCAGAAAAACATATGAGATCTATGCCACAGGAAGAAACAATGTGGACTACAGGTGCATCACAGGTACCTGGTTTCCCATTCCCTGAACCACAAACAAGGCAGAGAGAAGATAGAGACAGGGTGAAAAATAGCTTTTTTCTATGGGAATTAGTAACGTTTCAGACATGTTAAAAGTGTCACAAAGGTATTTGTAAATACCCAACATAGCCACTGGTAGGTATTTTTTTCTGAAATTTACTTAGTTTCATTGATATACTTGGAGGTTTAAGATTTTTTTTTAGCCATTTTCTTCTGAGCATTTCTGCTCTTTTGCAGCAGCAAAAGCAAATTCCTCTTGGGAATTTTGTGTTCCATTTCATTACCATGTTGAAATGCGTTGCTGCGGAATCACAAGAATCACAATGAAATTTTCCAGATGTTATGCAGACACTTTAACATACACTCCTACTTTCGAGAGTTTCTTTTACTGCATGTAGGCTGTTTGTAATAGGTCTTGAATTGTATGCATTGCACTTTTGAAAGTGTGCAATACATAGAATTCTATAAAGGATTATGTAAAGCTGGACTGCTTTTTATACTCATAGCTTTTACTGTCAGGGAGGACATATACACAGTGAATAACAGTATGTATTTTATAGTACTGATTTCCATGTGATTCACTTCTCCAGTTCAATATTAAATTAAAAATAATTAATAAATAAGCAGGCAGGTAGAAAAGATCCCCATTCCTCTTTTAAACCACTCTGACACAACACAGGATTCCTATCCTGTACAATGATAAGCAAAGTCAGTAAAAAGGTGCTGTTTACTGCTTGCATTCCATCAGTGCTTAAGAACTTTATCTGATAATAAATTTCCTACCGTGCACACTCTTTCACAGAAAAATAGCACAAAGAGAGATCTAGATAGCCTATAATCTCTGGGATAAAAAATATTTCAGACAATCATGCTGGTAAGTAATAGATCAGAGGATAAGGCAACAGGTATTTATTCTGGTCTTAGTGTCAGAGCATGGTGGCAGCTCCTGCAGACTGTACACGAGGCAGCAGTGGTACCTCAGTAGTGCTGAATCCTCACACTGATTCAGCTGGTTGTGTTTACAAAGGATCCTCTCTCTCCCCATACAAACACCATTAAAAAATTTAAGAATCATTTAACAGCAAATGATTTGCTATTAAACAGCTATGCAGTCCTAAATTGCATTATTTAGAAATCCCATTAGCAGCATGAGAAACGGATGTCCTGAGAAGGAGCAGCTGCAGAATGCCCTGAGGATGAGGCAGTGGCTCAAAGATCTGCCACACTGCCAGGTGATGATGAGGATAACGTGTGTAGTCATTCTTCTTCCAGTCTGGCTGTGCGCTGTGCCATACAGGCACTCCTCTCAAATGTATTGTAAAGGAAAAGAAAAAAAAATCAGTACATCAGTCTGTCCTAACTATTTATTCACTGCATGTGTATTTGGGCTCATCTGGTGTACTATGCATGGGTGTTTTTTTTTCCTGCTGGTGTGCTGCAATTGGAGACACGGTGCTGGATAAATACAAGCACACCTTCATCAGCCTTTGTTCCCGGAACAAGCTGAAATTACCACAGAGTTGGTACTTCCTAAAATCCCATCCATTTCTGTGTTATTTCAGATGTGTTTATTTTTAACTTCACCTACCATCCAAAGCCTAAACTATTAAACTGAAAATAGCACATCTCCAAAGGTCTTTTTAACAAGGTAAAACAATCTTCCATTGCCTTCATCACTAGCTCAAAATTGCTCAACCTTCTGTTTTTGACGCAATATACTAAAGCCAATTATGTTAAATTAAAAGATCTAGCAAAAAAAAAAAAAAAAAGAGAGAGAGAGAGGATGTACCAGGTGACTGGTGTCTGCTTGCAGCCTCCCAGGAAACTGTGTGTCATTTTGTGGTATTGGCACGTGTTACCACAGTATCAAGCCCTTTGTTCACAAGAGCTGCTACCCAAGCAGATTGTCAATGACAACGATCATTTTTGCTTATTTTAGCAGAGTAACTGCAATTACTGGCACCAGCGGGCATCACACACTACATGCAGCAAAAGTATTTGGCTTCAGAGTACTAATTTAGTTCATGTCACAGAGGCAAGGAAACGTGCTTTTCTTTCCTGCAGC